CACACACACACACACTCACACACACACACTCTTACTCACACACACACACTCTTACTCACACACACACACTCTCTCACACACAACTGACGACACACACACACACCGAGAGCGAATACTGATGCAACACACACACACACACACACTCTCACAGACACACACTCTCACACATACACACACACCGAGAGCGAATACTGACGCAACACACACACACTCACTCTAAACGAATGACTCCAGGTCACTGTGTTGCTGCAAATCACTGTCATTGTGAACACACCTTTAACAGGACAACAGATTTACAGCCGCTGAGCGATGTCACTTCCTCTTCCCATTAAGGCAGGGCTGGATTAAGTCTAATATCAAACATCTGGAAGCTCGCAGCGCTGCTAAAGGACATGGGGAGGGAAATTAGCCAGATTTAAAGCATTAGAGGAGATCCGCGCCTCCGCGCTGCAGTTGTTATGAGAGAGAGCGCGCCGCAGGTTTGAGTTTCGTTTATGTAGCGCTGGCGCTCTGATGTGGACGAGGGTCGCAGGTTCGAGTCTCCGAGGGCAGACGCGCTCTGACTCACACGACATTCCTGACGGGAAGCGTGGAACGTGGGAGTCCCGTTACTGCGGATGGAGGGACGGAGGAGAGGGAGAAAGAGTTCACGAGCTGCTCAAATTCCCTCCTGATTTGTGGAGATTAAAAGTGCAGCGAGCGATGTCACTTCCTCTTCCCATTAAGGCAGGGCTGGATTAAGTCTAATATCAAACATCTGGAAGCTCGCAGCGCTGCTAAAGGACATGGGGAGGGAAATTAGCCAGATTTAAAGCATTAGAGGAGATCCGCGCCTCCGCGCTGCAGTTGTTATGAGAGAGAGCGCGCCGCAGGTTTGAGTTTCGTTTATGTAGCGCTGGCGCTCTGATGTGGACGAGGGTCGCAGGTTCGAGTCTCCGAGGGCAGACGCGCTCTGACTCACACGACATTCCTGACGGGAAGCGTCATTCAGCTTCGCCGGAGGAGCGACACTCATCTGCATCTCAGAGATCAGCCTGACGGCCAAAGCTGACGATATCTGTTTGCTTTACGCTTAGATTGCTATCTGAGGCTGACACGGAACGACAGAACGGCACAGAGAGAGAGAGACACATTCTAGAGCCACCCAAAAGTGTTCTTGCCTTTTTCTTTTCATTCTTCTCACACAAAGTGGAAAAGACAACAGTCACCGTTATTTATTCAAAAACATCCAGATTCTGTGTAGCGGTGCTGCAGTGTTACACTCTCACAATACTGCATCACTGCATGAGAATGCAACCAAACATTGTGAAAATCCTTCATTTTGGTATTTTTAAAGGATTGTAACTGGTGCTAAATATTCTAAATGAACCGAGTCTTGGTTCTGAATCTGAAAACTGACACCTAATTAAGCGAGACTAGCGCAGGAAGAGCAGCGTGACAGGTGGAGGTGAGCGAGAGGACAGCGGTTATCAGTGTGTCGCTCCGAACACCTCCTCAGGCTGACAGACCTACCTCTGCTGCTGTTCTCCATCGTGTACAGATAATCCATGTAGAACGCACCGTAGCGCTGCAGCCCCGCGTTCTCCGTGTACGTCTCCTGTGAACACAAGCAGAGCAGAACCGTGTTCAGTGACAGGATCACACACCGAACCACTGGACCTTCACTAACCACAGACGATCAGCTCATCCTGAACCTGTGATGCTTCTACACAGAAATACACTGGACTATCAGCCTCTGCAGGACTGCAACCGTGTTTATGATTAGAAGATCTACATTATGAGGCCAGAAAACAGAAACACCACAAGCTGCTTAGATAGAAAATATTGACATTCATTCATCAGGTAGAAGCCTTTATCCAAAGTGACATACAGATTGAAAGAGTTTGGCATCACAAGTCGCTGAATAAACCTTTCTAATGAATGCACAAAACTGAAAAACATTTTAAAAAAGGCATGGCTATGAGTTTCAATCTAGACTATTATGCCAGTCTAGATAAAGTGTTGAGCTTCAAAACTGACACAACTAATATGATTCAATAAACTCAACTTCTGCTGTGTCTTCGGCTAATAGATGAGCTGACAGGACTCAATATCAGACAACATTCAGTCTTCATTAGTTTTGAATATCAGTCATTGGATTTAGACACTTATATATATTCTGACCTCCACCGTGATTCCCTCCTGCTCCACACTGAGGACCTCACGAGACTTCAGCTTCTGTGGACTGTAGTAACTGCTCTCAGAGCAGCTCTCTGTCAGCTACACAGACCAGACAACACAGACTCATGAAAACTATACTGATTCAATCAATAACAGTCTCAAGAAACTGGGATGCCATACATTGTTTTCCAACATATGCTAGGAACTTTCCCAGTTTATCCCGCGCTCATAAATCCAGTCTAAGACAATCTAAAGCTCTAATCGCTTGTAGCTCTTCTTGTAAGTCTGCTGATGGAGAACTATTATAAACTTTGTACATCTCCAATCCCACAGGCTCCACAGCTCAAGATTCACCGTTCTTTAATGTTTTTAGAGGAACAGCATCAAATAATTAGTCCTCCATCAACTTTACAGGTTTCTCGCAGATTCTCAGCGGATGATGAATTGAGAGATTAAAAGGATTGAGTGTAAAATCAGATGAAGTGATTTGAGAAGAACAGACCAGCAAACTCCTGAGCATAAATCCTCAGTCATACCGGCGTGATCGGACTCTAAAACACTGACCATTTTAGGTAGAAAAAAAAAAAAAGAGTCCAATCTGGACTGACAGTGATAGGAAACAGAAAATACAGTATATTCATCATCCACAGCGTGGAGAGCTCCCCGAGATCTGGACCTGGCCAGAGAAGAAGATGTGGAGCTGTGTGGCTGACTACCTAGAAGTGAATTTAACACACAACTGAAATCATATGTGACTGATACTGTATACATACTAATTTGTTTCTGTTTTTTCCCACTCACCTTAAATGTGACGGAGGCTTTGGTGCAGTAGAAGCCGACAGACACTATGGGGTCTCTGGGTGAGTTCTGCAGGGGCCGGGTGGCTCCAGACTCCTGTGTGTCCGTGTAGAGGCCAGACTCGCCCTCGCCCTCCTGTGATTGTTCCGTCCTTCGGACAGACGTGGTGTAATTGGTGCTTCCATAGTCTATCACGCCTGGGACGTTTCCCATAGTGAGATACCGAGAGATTGTTTGAAGGAGAACCCAGAACTACGTTTTTATAATCTGTCGACCCAAAAAAACGAGCGTTTAAGGACACAAATAGTTGTAGATGTCGGGGTATTTCATTCAGTTAGATCATTTCTCAAATAAAAGGAAGGTCAGGAAAAGGGGCACTGACATAGACCAATAAAGTTTAGTTTCTCAGTATATCTCCTCCTCTCAGGTTCACATCGGGTGGAGAAATAATCCTTTGACATGATTAAAATAATGAATGTTATCTGTTGGTGATTACGTTTCCTTCCAGTGGGCGTAGTTCTCAGAGTAATGACACGTTGCGCTCTACTTTTGTGTCCTAAACGCTCGTTTTTTGGGTCGACAGCTTATAAAAACGTAGTTCTGGGTTTTTTAGCTTGTTTGCTGTACACCTCGTCACACAGCAGCTTGCAGACATTGTTCTGTTTTTTGTTATAAGTCAGAAATTACACGGAGGCAGATTCCCGCAATACAAAGTCAATGGAGAGTGTTGCGTGAGCGTGGTTTTCTGATTATGACACGTGTCGCTCTGTCTCTATGTACATTATTTCCCCTTGATACTGTAACGGCAATGATTCATTGTGATGTTCTTCTGTGTGGGTCAACGGCATGTAGCGCTATAGGACAGACGTAATTTTACAGATCAGTAAATCAAGACCTGTCCACGTCACATTGATCAGCAGCGTGCAAAACTGTGAATAAATAAATTCCACACAGAGACCAAGCTACAGCATCCCATCATTCAGTGCCGGAATCAGTTCAGCAGGAGCACGCTGAGTCCTGCGCTCGCGTAAACGCTCAATAAATCTGCTTTACACAGCGTCTGCACCATTAATGACACTGGGGACGTTCTCGTTTTGTTTCCGTCTCTTACCCACAAAAACAAAACGCTTGACACTTTTCAGGATTAGTTCATTGCAGCTATAATCACAATGTGTGTGATGCATGTGTGTGTGTGCGTGTGAGTGTGTGTGAGTGCGTGTGTGTGCATGTGTGTGTGTGTGTGTGCGTGTGTGTGTGTGCGTGTGCGCGTGTGTGAGAGTGTGTGTGTGTGTGCGTGTGTGTGTGCGTGTGCGCGCGTGTGTGCGTGCGTGCGTGTGTGAACAGAGCACCTCATGACCAGAAGCTCCAGTTGAACAGCATCCACGGTCTAAGGTCATTACTCAACAAAGCACCAAAGAACTGAAAACATTACGAACCAGAGTTTCAGCAATAAAATATTAAAATATACAGCAATAAATGGTCATAACCGCAGGTCCAATGGCATTATGGAGCCCTGTTGAACGCTCGCAGTCCCACTTCAACTTATAAAACTTTAATGCTTTTTCCTTGTTGTCCAACTTAAATGTTTGTCTTCCTGTGCGAGTGGCACTGCGTTTTATTAATGAGCTCTGGAGCACTGCGGATCATAATCCGACAAACTCAAAGCCTCACGATCAGGTGAAGAACAAATAAGTGTTTTACAGCAGCAGCGAGGGCTGCTGGGTCCCAGTTGTGCTTCATTTCCTGTGGGCATCACTCATGCGGGCGTGTGTGTGTGCGGTCGACGCTTACCGCCGGGTCAGTCGTGTGTGTGTGTCGAACATGCAGGTCAGTGTGTGTGTGTCAGTCGTGTGTGTGTGTGTGTCAGTCGTGTGTGTGTGTCGAACATGCAGGTCAGTGTGTGTTTGTGTGTCAGTCGTGTGTGTGTGTGTGTCAAACATGCAGGTCAGTGTGTGTGTGTGTGTCAGTCGTGTGTGTGTATGTGGTCGAACAGCAGGTCAGTGTGTGTGTGTGTGTGTGTGTGTGTTGCACCTGCATTCACAGTCATAAAGTCATTCCCTGTTAGTGCTCTCTGGATCCAATTTATCCAGCAGTGCAGCCGACTTTCCCTCCGTCTGCCTTCATCTCTCTGTAAACTATTGCTTCAGCTGCACCTGTGCTGCGGCCCGTGGGGACGAAAAACTCCAGTCATTAAATAGCTGGAAAAACCAACCGCTTTATGTGCTACTCGAGCCAAGAGCGGCTCTCAGACTCCACCGGCCTCTTCCTGCCCGCGGAGCGCATCAGAATAAAGACACGAGACGTGAATGTGTTTCGATGCACAGGAACGAGCCACCTGCTCTAAGCTTCACAGAATCAATGCAACAAAAACACTGACAGCTTGAGTTCAAACCATCTAAATATCGATCTGAATAAAAAGCTGTCAGAATCAGCAGAGACATTTTACCAGTCGCATAGTTTCATTTTCATCATGATCATGTGTCGTTACTCTGCACCTGCAGTCAAATCTCATTTCAGAGCTGCACACCGAGCCCAGTGTTCACACTCGCTGCACAATTAACCTCAGAGTAGGTACGTCAATTACCAGACAGGTTTTGTATCTACCATGACATTAAATTCTCTCGTATGAGCCGATCCCTGAACACATGCCAGCAGATGTGGAGGAAGGTTAGCGGTCGTTGGCTGTGATTCTGCCATTGTGAACAGCACTTACACTGTCATGCAGCTACAGCTCAAACGCTTGTACTTTTCTAGCCAATTTTTAGAATTACAATTAAGATGTAGAATTGTAGAACTCACTAAATGAATAAATGTGTGATATTCACAACCAAAAAGTGCATATAAAGTTAATTATGGCATACTGAGTGAAAGAGGAATGTGTGTGTGTGTGTGTGTGTGTAAGCTTCAATGAAAACAAACAGTGTGCTGAGCTCTGATGGGGGTCTTTAAGAGGCTTTCCAGATAAGAGCCGCTGCTCAGGGAGGGACCGTGGCCCCGCGGCCTTCACAACATCACTCACCTGGGGGCAGGTCAGGGTCGCTCGGGGCCTGCTGCACCCGTCGAGGTTTAGACGCGGCCTTAGAGCTCTCAGAGGCGCTGCGATTGGTCGAACTGGACGTACAGCTTTCATTATCATCCTGCACACAGAAACAACACAATCACAACCTTACACACAACATCTGAGAGGAGACACGAGATCAGACGAGATGAGATGAGAATTAAGATTTTATAACACTTTCTGTGTGTTTGAGTGTGAGTGTGTGTGTGTGTGTGTTTGAGTGTTTGAGTGTGTGTTTGTGTGTGTATCTAAAGGAATGAGGAGTTCTGCACAGATGCACTGTGGGATAAACAGCAGTAAAGATTTATTTCTCATTTATTGCTGCAGTCTGCTGTGTGTTTGTGATGAAAGAGTGAAGATGCAGCTAAAACAATCAGACGAGCACAGCGTCGAGGTCAGACGCAAACATCCCAGGATAATTGTCACTGATAACAGCCACTGATTTACTGGAGAGATTCACTTTACTGCATCAGCAATGGCCTCTACGCCCCCCCCACATGAGCCACGGTGACCTTTGACCCGAGACCAACATCGCACGGGCCCAGAGTTAAACACACTCAGTCAACCTCCGTAACATCAACAAACCCTTCAGCAGCCACACCACACGCCTCCATCAGCTCCAGCTGTGTTAATGAAGACGTCTGACACAACAACACACACACCAGCAGATATAATAAACAAATCACACAGAGAGATTAACACTGAGCGCTCACACTTCATCTACAGAGACCAGCTCTGAGAATCTACTGGAGATTATTCGCACACCTCCACATCTGCAAACACTTGCACAAGCGCAGCACGTCTGCACATCTCCCTGAGTGCTGCGCGTTCAGCATCACTGCAGACGTGCTGCTGTAGATCCAGAGCAGATCCTGCACACGAAACGCCTGCAGATGTTTCTACAGGATCATACTCTGCTGCTCAGAGGAACTGTAAAAACAAACTACATTCATTAGATCATTAATCACCAGAGAAACTCACAGCGGACACCGCAAACCTCCTTCTGTTCTCAACACACACACAACCTGAGACACAACACACACACACACATGAGTGTGTGTGTGTGTGTGTTTGAGTGTTTGAGTGTGTGTTTGTGTGTGTATCTAAAGGAATGAGGAGTTCTGCACAGATGCACTGTGGGATAAACAGCAGTAAAGGTTTATTTCTCATTTATTGCTGCAGTCTGCTGTGTGTTTGTGATGAAAGAGTGAAGATGCAGCTAAAACAATCAGACGAGCACAGCGCCGAGGTCAGACGCAAACATCCCAGGATAATTGTCACTGATAACAGCCACTGATTTACTGGAGAGATTCACTTTACTGCATCAGTAACGGCCTGTACGCCCCCCACATGAGCCACGGTGACCTTTGACCCGAGACCAACATCACACGGGCCCAGAGTTAAACACACTCAGTCAACCTCCGTAACATCAACAAGCCCTTCAGCAGCCACACCACACGCCTCCATCAGCTCCAGCTGTGTTAATGAAGACGTCTGACACAACAACACACACACCAGCAGATATAATAAACAAATCACACAGAGAGATTAACACTGAGCGCTCACACTTCATCTACAGAGACCAGCTCTGAGAATCTACTGGAGATTATTCGCACACCTCCACATCTGCAAACACTTGCACAAGCGCAGCACGTCTGCACATCTCCCTGAGTGCTGCGCGTTCAGCATCACTGCAGACGTGCTGCTGTAGATCCAGAGCAGATCCTGCACACGAAACGCCTGCAGATGTTTCTACAGGATCATACTCTGCTGCTCAGAGGAACTGTAAAAACAAACTACATTCATTAGATCATTAATCACCAGAGAAACTCACAGCGGACACCGCAAACCTCCTTCTGTTCTCAACACACACACAACCTGAGACACAACACACACACACACAATCTGAGACACAACACACACACACACACACACACCACCTGAGACCCACAACACACACACACACAAACACACACACACACACACAAACACACACTCAAAATTCTCTCTCACCTACACCTGTAACTTTTATTATTTTTTTCACAGTTTCTCTGTTTTATTTGTATAGCTGCAAGCAAATGCAAACATGTAATGAAGTATATGTCCTGTTTAAACTGAAATGGTCAGGGTTTCTCGGGCTCTGCGTCTGGTTTGGGGTCTCTCCGGGCCGGGCTTAACCAGCGCATAATTTGTCTGAACGTCATTTGCAATTTTCCAAAAGTTCTTTCTGAACGGGACGGCTCTGTGAAACACATCTGCAACAAATACCTGTTTGGGAATTTAACAGGACCCGTCCCGACTCATTTCCACATGGCAGAAACACGCAGACGGCAGTAGCTGCAGCGCTGGGTGATATTAGCGCAGTGAAACACGCATGTGTTCCAGATCTATTCTGCAGAAGCTGCTATAATCAGCTCTAATTGACTTCCCTGCTAAATGTGTTTCTGACTGGCCATCTGGCCTCAGGACCTCCTCACAACGACTCCCTGCGCGCGAGCGCTGCTTCAGCACAGGAAAACACGCTTCTGACACCAAGGAACACTGTACGTCTTTTGTGACGTCCGTGTCTGTGACGTGCAGTCGATTAGCACAGACAGCAATCTCCATGTTGTTCAATAACTGACATGAAGTCTTCAGTATTTGAGCCGCAAAGTGTCTCAATCACCTTTTTGTGATGAAGGAACTACTGGCCGCATTACTCGCTGCAGATGCTGCATGCAAACAACCTCACAGATTGTCACTTCACATGCCTTTCTGTGCAAACATCACATGAAGACCACGAGGTTTACTCAATGAGCAGCGGAATATAACATCAGTCAGGACTGGTGAGTGATTCTATCACACTAGCCTCATGTGATTACACTTTCAAACCATTGTAATAGTTTCATGTTTTAAAGATGCACACTTGCACACTCCACCACAAGTGCTATGGACCTCAGTCAGAGAGGACGCCATACTGTGCTTTAAATTAAATATGGCTTTTCCCTGACTAAAGTCTATTAGATTAACAAGAAACATGTTTCATATTTGTTTGTGCAAACTGTGGATTGAGTGATTGTCTGTTCAGCGCAGAAGCCGCACACAGTCATCAGATAAAGACAGACTCATTGATCAGGGTTTTCATACATAAACATCTGCTGTAGGGATGCAACAATACAGTTAGTCCACGGTTCAATTCCTACCTCAGTTTCATTTCGGTTCAGTTCTGATAGCTTGGCACATCAGTGTTTTTTTTGCAACAAATTAACAACAAAAAACTCCTGTAAACCTCTGTACACTGGAAAAAGCATGGATTATTATACGTCTGCTTAACATTTCTTTTGAGAGAGGTATTATTTTTCAGATTTTTACCCAAAATAGGATGGACTGGCCATTATTGAGTGCTATAAACACATGTAATGTGTGTTTCATTCATACTGCACACCAGAGGGCGCCCTCGCGCAGAAAATCCACACATGCATCACAGAAGTAACACTGATGATGTTCCAGGAAAACCCTGATGTGGATAAAGGTATTGCTATTGCTGTAACTGAATAAAAAGATGATATAAAGTTAAACGTTCTGAATGATGAAATGTAAGGACGATAAACACCCGCCTGAGACAATATATGGTTTGTGTTCTTCAAGCCATCTCGGGTATTTTCATAATGATATTTGTAAGCCATTTCTAATCAACATAGCCATTATTACAAGTATAGAATATATTTTCTGCCTCATTCTGTGATAAGAAGCCACATCAGATCCCAAAAGGAAGTTATTTCAAACACTCGACTTATGTTGTGATGTAAAAACAAGTTATAATGTTCTCTTTTGTTGGACAACAGGTTTAGAAAGGGTTATCATTGCATGTCTCGGGAAGATGCTCGGCGTGTGTTGCTTTTTCAAATATAAGCGGGGAGGCGTTTCCTCATCTCAGCACGTAAACTCACACACACTCACACACATACACTCACACAGATGTACACACACACACGCACGCACACACACGCACGCACTCACACACACTCACACTCACACTCACACACACTCTCACACACTCTCACACACACACTCTCACACACACACACAGAGCCAATTCTGAGAGAAATAAAACTCACGGATATCATTTAAACGCAAAACCGAAAAACCGTAACATTTGTGACGTCCCTAATCCGCTGTGCTTCAGCCAAACACAAACCCACGCTCGCTCTGAGCTTCAGCCGCTCGTGTCCCAGACTCTAGATCTCATTCAGACACTGACCGTGGCTCCGTCTCGGAGCTTGAGGATGCACTCCATGGTGTTGATGGTGATGACCACGGGCTCCGAGCTCAGTTTGGTCCAGGGCACGTGGATGCGCAGCTCGTGGATGTGTCCGCTCAGGAAGGTGAAGGGCAGCTTGAGCTCCTGCAAACACACACGCAGCCCATCAGTCAAACCAGAGTTCAGCAATTCAACACTCACAATCAAACAGAACCCATTCACAAAGGCTTCAAACGCTTCCCGAGGCGTCCTGACAGGATCCCAGAGTGGCTTTAATTGAAGATCACTAGAGAAAGTTTAACTCCCGCTCGGGACGACGCAAGCTGCTTCTAATAATATCCTGCATCAAACTCTGAGAGCGTGTGCGGAGCCAAACATTCTCACAACATCACAGTGATCCGTTCCAGATATTACAACTGCAAAAGCTCAGAGTTGCCCAAATAAGAGCGCAAAGCAAATGCTCTGCTGCATGTATGTGAGAGCTGGGAAACATCCACAAACATCCACTTCAACCCTTCAGAAACACTGACAGCTTTGAAGAAACAACATGGAAACACATCTTCTTTTATAAGATGTTAGCTGTGTTCAAGTCCCTGCACACAGTCACTGCTGATGATAACTGTTAGGGGTCGATTTACACTAAATGTCAGGGGCAGATTAAAGTTCATTCTGAATATGATTTTTTTAGTAAATTGATGCAGAATTATTTCTGAATCAGCTGACCCTTTGCTACTGACTAAGCAACTTTCCAAGCTTTTGCTTGTTCAAATGTAAATTTATAAAGGATCTGCGTGTTTGCGATGCAATTTTACAGAAATGATCACAAAATAAGGTTAAGCGTTGTTGCCGGGTCACTTCTACTAGCGACACTGAATCTTCCCTTCAATCTTTAAATAAATCTTGTTCATGCTGTGTATTACTCTCTGTGTCGCCGTCATTTCCATTGAACACGTCTGTAAGAGCATATTCATCTGCTGAAGCGTGAATGAAAGTCACTGAACGAGGCGACTGTAGTGTGAAAGTAACCTGAACAAAACTGTTCCTCACACTAATGTTATCAGCTGTAACTGCTGTTTTAGTGACACTGTTCTGATTCACGGCCTCACAGATTTAATCATGTAACTGCATTATTTAATAATTTCATCAATATCAACAGTAACAAGGGGAGGCGGGGCTTAGGGAAATCAATTGTTTCCAAAATACTGTTTTACATATCCACCGTTTTCCTACATTTGTGCTTTGTGCAAATTATGGGAGTAACATCCGTCAAACTGTAAACAATCAGCAACCGCCAGCTAATTTAAAGGTTCACTCTATGCCATGATAAACATTTTCAAAAACTAAGTACAAAGACGTGACATTATTCTCCTCGTGTAGAAGTATGAACAAACTACTTTCAGCAAACCATGAATGGAATCTCAGGAGTTATTACAGATGTCACAGGTATTCTGGTGTCACTAAAGTCACATTAAAATACCAAGCAGTACATTATTTTCCCGAGGAATAAAAATAGAGCGATGGAAAATGTTCAGATCGTTCAGTCAGAATGATTTGTTTCAGTCCTTCTGGGTGGCAGATCCCGAAACCAGAAGTGCCGCCATATTTTAAAATGCAGTAAAGCTCCTTCAGAAAAAAACAGGCAGAAGGACATCAGTGAAGGAAAGCTTCATCACAACAGTATATCAGCTGTGACTCTCTCACCTGCTCCAGCACGTCCAGTCTCAGGTCCAGTTTGCTCAGAACCACATCGCCGCCCCATAGTGACAGCTGCAGGTCCGACGGCTTCAGGTTCTTTATGTAGCGGTACAGCTGACTCCACTGTGATGTGACCCTGTCTCTCTCTCTCTCACACACATGCACGCACACACATTCTCACACACACACACACTCTCACACACTCGCACGCACGCACGCACACACACTCTCACACACACACACACACACACACACACAGAACTGTAGAAATCAATCTGGATTTCTAATAGACCATATTTGAGAGGATTGATCAGCTGACTTAAATCTCACTGACAGAGTTTTGAACAGAACATGAATGCTGAACACACGCGATATTTACCTGAGCAGCAAGTGTCATAATCCTCCACTGAGATCACCGGGGTGTACATAATAAACGTCTAAAATAATTAGCGAACGTTAAGTGTATTTTGATGCTATAATTTGATGTCATTAATGTCTCTCATCAGAGCCGCCTCGGCGTCTGTCAGCGCTCGTCAACGTCAGAATGATTGATGTGGCCAATCAAATCAAAGGAGGCGGGGCTTAACTGACGCTTCAGATTTAACGGTCAAAATTAAGATTAACGTTTTTCACAACTGTTTTACAATAGAATGTTAAACAACCGACAGTAATATTCAGCTAAACTAATCGACTTTTGTCCAATTCTGCGTTTTAAATAGAAAAATATAATTTACGTCATGTAATGTAATTCTTAGTTGTCAATGACAAGAAACATTAACTGCCAGTTTTCATCATATTAGGCATAAAATTAAGAATGAATGTGTGCATATTGTGATTAATCCATAAACGGTTACCTGTTTTTCTGATATCCTTTCAGAGAGTTCTCACACCTCCATCAGGACAGTCATTTAGACCATTCAAAACGTTTACTTTTTAATACATTTGAGCTCTTTAACTATTTTCATGTATTCTTATTTTATTTATTGCTTTAACTTTGTCTTTTTGATAAGAAGTGTCTTCGCATGTAAACGCTATGCCTGTATTTCACTGAGGGTGCGGTGATATCTGCATTTACTCATCATCTGAGCCTGTGTTTACGCTCTTCGCCGACACAGATGAACACAGACAGACTGACATGCGGTTTAAAGCTCTGACACTCTTAGCGAGCTCAGCTTTGAGCGGCGTTTCTGAAGCCCTGCGCGCATTCATGATCAACATCAGTCACACACACACACACACACACACACTTACAGCTTCACCGACGCGTCAGACTCCTGCAGAAATACAAACACAAGCCGCGTCCATCACTTCCGCATACACAACGCCATAGCGTCATCGCCTGCGTACGTACGTCACTTCCGGCACTCGGCTGACGCGAGGCAGACGTGTGCGCGCGCGTCAGGGCAGTTTGAGTGAAATGACTTGTTTTGTCCGTTTCTTTCAAACACAAACATATTGATTAATGACCCACTGACATGACGTTATAAACAGTTAAATTAAGTCCAGCTTTTAAGCGACGCGTCTTGAGATTTAGCGTCTCGCGTTCTGTGTGAATGAACCATCATCATGATCGAAACTCTGACTTTACACGACTAATCGTTAAATATTCATTATCGCTATACACCGACTGTATAATAATATGCTGCTTATTTAGACTCTGACAGTATTCCTGCGCGTTAGATCTGCGTAAACGCGTTTATTTGACGCTCAGCTGGAGTTCTTTACTCTTCAGTAATGGAAACCTTTAATGAGCGACAGAGCAGTAATTATATCAGATGTGGAGGTTTGCTGAAGGACTGCTAGAACATTTATTAAATATAGCCTACACTCAAATCTGTAAATAGCCTACTGACTATATACTTCTGTATTAATAAATACTGACAATACCTACTTAACATGACAATACTTCTTCTTCTTCTTCTTATTATTATTATTAGGCCTATTATTATTATTAACACTAAATCTTCATTATGCTATTAAAAACTGACTATAGCCTAGGCTAGCCTAATGATATTTAAATACCTTTATTTTATTAAACACTGATACAGTCATAATCATTTTAATTATTAAACCATAAATGCGCGGAGTTTCGGGATCAGTGAGTGTTTAAACCGGTTCGTCTTATTTATCATTATCATTATTATTATTATTATTATTATCATTCGTTTTATTTACAGGATTTACACGTTTTGGAATTGCGTCGTTTATACGAAATTAACAAAAGAACTCGACAAATGAATCTGTTTTTAATTTCAAGAGTTTAATTTTACGGGCTCGTAACTCACATGTGCCATTGTTCTTTTTTATATTTACGATTTTATATTCACAAATTTCCAGAAGAGCTTTTTTTCCCCCCGGTTGCGTCTTTTCTAGCGATCTCCAAACCTTCTTCTTCTCTCTTTCTGCAGCCTATTTCTGCGTCTACGCTTAGATGTTTATTTTTTTAAATAACGATTATATTATTTATTACACTATTTATATACACACAATATTTGCTCACATTGTGTGTTTTTAAGATGAAAGCATGCATGTGTTGCAGTGCACTATTAGAGATGATTAATTAAACAGCGTGTGTGTGGTTTAATGAGCGGCTCAGTCTTCTGCATCTCGATCCGAAGCTCCACACACAGCGAGGCCCATGGTGTAACTAACAGAGAACGTCCAGATAGCTATATTATAGCCTAGTTGTCATAAATACTTAAAAAAACATTTATATTACTATAATAACATTTCGTGTTACACTCTCATGGAGCCTAGGCTACTCGAAAGGTTTGCTCTGAAGTTAAATAGGTTACTGCTAACAATTTTTGTAATGATAATTAAAATTAGATAACCATGTCGGGACATAAATAAATAAAATAATAACGTAGGCCATAATATATGAAAATAAAACGTAAGAAGGGCAAAAGTAGTTTTTTTTTAATTTTTTTTACAAAAGTCCAGTCACCATTTAGAAAAAGAAAACTCTTTTATTAAAGCAGAATTGTGTCCGTCTCTTCTCACTCACATGTTATTGTCTTTGACTGAAACACATTATTGTATTAATCCTGCGCTCATGTGAGCAGCTCAGCCGCTTGATTCACTCGATGATTCTCCCATCAGCTCCAAACGCGTCGAGTTCAGAGGCAGGTGATAATAAAAATAAGGATCAAAACTTTATTTTCAGGAGTTCACACAGAGTCTGTTGAGGTGCCAGCGAGTCGAGCAGAGGCTGAGAGCAGAGCTAGCGTGTGAGCACTGGTTAGTGCACTAGTTAGTAGTCCTGCTGTGTGAGCACTGGTTAGTGCACTAGTTAGTAGTCCTGCTGTGGGCTGTGAGTCAGACTGTGGCGTCGCAGGTCGCAGTTGCGCCGAAACAGCTTCGCGCAGCGGCCGCAGGAGAAAGGCTTGAGGTCTGTATGGGTGAGAAGGTGAGTTTTCAGGTTACTTCTTTGATTAAAGGTTCTTCCGCATGTGGGGCATTTGTGAGGAGATTCCTGTTCAGATTTGAAGCAAGCAAATGATTATTCCCTTCAGTTTTCCATCAAAAATAAACGCTTCAATGTCAACATTTGAGGCCCAGAGATGTTTATACAGGCCCATGCATGCTATAATCGACAGCCCCAAACATGACATTTTAATTAAGAGCTCAACGAACAAAACTCTGTTTGTGCAGAATGTCATTCACATACAGAAGATACAAATGAGGACAATTTACCTGCAAGTGCAACGTTTTATGAACCGCCAAAGTTCGTGACTGACAAAATCCCTTCCCGCACTCCTGACATTTGAACGGTTTCTCCTTGGAGTGAATATATCTGCAAAACAAGCGAGAGTGAGTCAAGCTGGAGCTCCTCAGGCAGCACAGCACCTCACACAGCTGCTTATAACACTCCATAGACTCTCCATAGGCGTTTTTATACTGTACAAACTATTTTCTATCGCCCTACACCAACCCTACACCTAAACCTACCCCCCTCACAGGAAACTTTCTGCATTTTTAGATTTGTTAAAAAGCACCATTTAGCCTATGTTTTTAAGCCTTTTGAATTACGGGGACATATGCAGTGTCCTCATAAACCAACTTTACATTGAAATACCTCTGTCATACCCCTGTTAATATACAAATTTGAGTCCTCGTGAACCACACACACACTCACACACTCTCTCTCTCACACACACACACACACACACACACACACTCTCTCTCTCAGCTCACCTGTGGTCTCGCAGGTGGTCTTGTCTCCGGAACGCTTTGAGGCAGATGTCGCAGGTGTAAGGCCGCTCGTCGGTGTGTGTGCGCTCGTGGATCAGCAGGTTGTAGGATTTGGTGAAGTGTCTCCCGCAAAACTTACAGATAAATTCCTTTTTGCTTTTGGACGGGAGTCTGCCGCGCGCGGGCTTGCGCTCCGGGGAGAGTTTGGCCAGCTCGCCCGGTTTGGGCGGATCCTCCTGCGTGGCCGCCGCCGCGAGGTTCGCGAAGTCAAACCTGGGTCTGTCCTTGTGCAGCGCGGCAGCGACGCGTTGTTTGGGGTGGAAGAGGTGCGCGGCGAACGGCAGAGCGGCGGAGAAGGCGAAGCGCGGGTCCACGAGGCCCTGAACGGGCGGGTAGCCCAGGCTCCAGTGGTTCATCTGCAGGGTTTGGAGCGAGCTCAGGCCGTACCGAGGGTCCGCGGCGGCGGGGAGCGCGTTGAGCGTCTGCAGGAGCGAGAAGTTGAGCTGCAGCGCGGGGTGCAGCGGGACCGGCGCCGGTAACGCTTTACTGCTCATCTCAGAACCGAGCTCCAGCAGGATCCTGACACAACACAAGCACACCGAGGCATGAAACACCGCCTTGATTTCCTAACTTGTTAAAAAGTTTTTCCTTTCCTCAAATGATGATAGCTACCTGGAAAAACATATAGGCTACAGGAAATATATTTTGCAGCATTTATTATTCTCTTTTTGTAATTGTCTCGCATGCAAAACATCTGTTCATGCTGAAATAATTTTACTATCCCCAGATTTATTTATTTATTGCCTTTTTTTTGTTATTATTTTTATAGGCTATAGGTTTTTTTTCTTCAGTTTTGTCCCGTGCCGTTCTCTGTCGCTATTTAAACAAGCTGTCATAAAAACGCGTTTAAAACACGTATATTTCTATGAAACAAATCTATGCATAGGCTAATAATCATCCAGAATCACAGAAAACCACGAAACGAGCCGAAAGAACTCTAGAGCGACAGTCTGACTGGACATTGATCTCTGAAAGCGTTCCTGAAGTGCACGAGTAACTCTAACAGGCCTCATATTAAACTGGACTTAAATCTCTGAAGGACAACGAGATGTCGAGATAAAGAGTGTTTGAGATCTTCAGATAGCAGACTGCTTCACTCTGTTTGCTAAATATTTCAATATTATTATGAAGCCAATCTAAAATAAATCACCGATCATCAAGCATATTTCGCTGACCTCTATAAGACAGAATGCGTCTCTATTAATATCCGTTTCTTGCACACTGCTGATGCAGATGTGATTAGAGCTAACAATCACGACAACCGAACTCTACGGTGGGAAAAATACTTCTTTTTCTATTCTCGTTCGTGGAATATAACAGCATCATAAATCGTTTAACTTAAACATCATTTTTTAAATTTAAATTTACAGCACGTCTCATGAGAGTTCGTGCATTTCTATTAAAACAGAATAAAGTTGTTTTCTCACCCACGATGCCAAAGGTCGCAGTTCTACTGTAAATCCGCACAGAGCGAGAAACTTCAGCTCAGATCCATAACTACAGTTTAAACATGCTAAACCGTGTCAGCTTCAGAAGTGTTAGAGTCCGGTTCTGCTCTGGACCTGCTCTGGATCCCCGGATCCCGCTGTTCTTGTTCGAGCGGCGGAGCTTCACGGACCCGCCCCTCACACACACACACACACACACAC